GCAAGCGAACATATTTATAAAACTACAGTTACATATATTTTGGAAACAATGATACCATGAGTATTTGAAGATATAATTTTGTTAATGTGTTATTTGATCTAGTGATTTGAGCAGCTTCTTGGCACATGTCAGAAGCACTTTCATGTTTCGCTTCTTGTTCATGAGCAAAAACTTGGGTTAGTGAGATCAAAAGTATCAGAGCTGTAGCAACCTTATGTTTATCCCTTATAGTTCTGCCGCTGTATGTTCCTCTTTTTATTCTCGGATTTTACACTAGTTTTCAATGCTGAATTCTGAATCACCGCTCGCCAGTCAGTAAAGGAAAGTCTAATTTCAAATGAAGCATCCACGTATGCTAATAACAAACATCATGACTCTAGCTAGTATATGGTGGCAGGGGTGGGATACAATACAACATGAAGAGAAATTATCCTTATATTTCCCTGCAAAGAATATTGAGCATCATACTCTTCAACCTGTAATGTCCCTCATTCAACTCGCACTCACCCGTACGTCTAAGCTCCCTCCCTCTGGTTCTGCTTCCTTTACCTCTGAAACCACACTAAATTTTATTTTTCTTTTCTTTACAATGTATGATTTACATGCAAGCAGATATCAATGTATCAATTTCGTATTTCTCGTAAAAAGTCCAATTTGTATTCATCTACTAAAACACAAACATAATCCAGCACAAAAGAAGTCTCTGAGGACGACTGACTGATTTGCATAAACCACAAGAAAGGCATAGTACATTTGTTTGAAGCTTAATATATTCGTTCCCAAATAGCTCTTGAAAGACCTTCCCTTTCCACTTAAGGTAGATATGAGCTGTGCCAAGATCATTTGTCGTACACCGAAGGCAAATCCAACTTACATGTGCACGGCATAAAACTATTTACTTTTCTCTGGTTTATGCCGAGTTTTACTGTGAGTACGGACAGGGCAGGGCAGATCTGGAAATGTATGCTTTGTACTTTCGATCATTAATTAACCGCTGGCAAAAGTTATTTCTTGTAAAAAGATGAATCTGGAACAATTTTGAAAGAGATAGACTACACCTGAGATTATAGTAAAGATAAAAAATCATCCACAGAAATAATACGCAAAGTTAATGAGTTGAAATTCTACAATAAGCAAAACATCTGTAACTTGTACACAATAAGACATCGTCAAGGAAATGCTACACTTTCCTCTGAGTTTCTGTTGATTAAAGCCCTTTGTATTTTGCAAGTAAATGCCAAAAAATAATATTTTGTAGATTTCTCTTTCCATTAAGGAAGCAAGCATTTTTACATCCACCCTTCATTTCGAACTGCAAGGGGCCACATTATAGAGGCAAAGTTCTGCACCTCGGATTGTCTCTAGAGTAGATGATCTGATTACCCAGCATTGGGGCTTTGAAAACGTAAAGCTTAGTCCTTCAGCACAGGTATCAAGACCTCCAGATACTCCCCTTGCCACCTCTGTCCTCACCGCCGTTTGCCTTTTCTGAAAACTCAATAACACGGTACACGGTCCTTGTATACCTATGGGAGTATAGGAGGCCACCTATTAAGCATCTGTTCATGGTACCAGTATTCCACTACCAATCTTCACTATGTCGCACCTCCCTGCTACTAGTGTCTCTTCCACCTGCCACTGACATCTGCGTCGACAATACCAACATCATTAATGCGCTACAATGTTACTCTTGCCATCGCGGTCACCATCGCTGCTGCTGCCTGAGCTTAGAGCAGTGGTTTTCAAACTGTGAGCAGTACCTAGTGGTGCCACATGTCTGTATTAAAATATATTTCGTATCAACAGAATATTTATAGTCGCTCTCATTCTTCTGGTAAGTATGTTTGCCGCTTGAGCATATAACCTATGCAGAGCGAAGATGCACTTTGTTGTAATGATAAATGTGTGTGAAGTGTGTGCTTCGCGTGGGAGGAGGGGTTAAAGAATAGTGTTCTGCAGAGAGAAATGTAAGTATCACTGAGAAGAATTTGGCAACCACTAGCCTAGAGGAAGGACGACACACAACCGAACAAACTCGGTAAGCAGAATGAAATTCTTTTGCCAAGAAATGATCTTTAACCTCCTCAGCAAGGTACCTGACATGCAGTTCCTTATCATTCAGCATTGTCTCAGGCTTACGCACCAGGAATCCATACACATCCATACTTCAAGCATCAGTGGCCTCTAGCATCAAGCGTTTTGCATTTAACGTGTCTGTTAAGTCTGCCTATGTGAAATATCCTAGGGCAAAGTCCCGGAGGCAGAGACTGTTCGACAGCAACCTTATACGCAGTACAGCGTTATATGGCAAAGCCGAAGATCTCATTGAGAATAACTAGCTGTCATGGACGAAAGTTGGACGGTGAACACCCTTATCACATCAAGATTACAGAAGTCGACAGGAGAGTATGTGATAATTAGAGACCTGGAACCCAACGACTGCTTCAGTCTCTGTGCCACTATACACTGGAGTTACCTCACCAACAAAGGCCGAATTCGG